AGAAGACAAATATTTCCTCAAATGAAAAATTGGACTAGTAATCAAGAAAAAACAGGTAAAACACAATGACGATTTTGCTTCTGTAGGAGCACGGAGGTGATTGCAGATCAAACGTCCCTCGGGGACCAAGTAGAAAAGCTGGACAAATAGCAAAGGATTTAAATAGACAAAGTATGTTGTTTAATTACAGTGTGAAACTAGAAATCGATAGCAAAAAGATAACAAAATACCTAAATATTTAGGAATCAGACGATGTATTTCTAAATAACCCATGGGCCAGATAATTAAATAAAATGTAGATGATATCAGTTAGAAGTAAAATATCAAAACACTGGGAAGTAGCTAAAGCCATGCTTAGAGGAAAATTTATAGCCGTGATGAGTATATTAGAAGAAAGGCTGAAAACCAACGAAGGGCTTTCATTGGTCTAAGTGTTCATTTAAAGACACTTGAAAAAAAGAGCACATGAAACCCCCCAAAAAGTAAAAGAAAGGCAATAATAAATGTAAAAACAGAAAGCAATGAAGGGGAAATGTACTCCAGAACAAATTAACAAATCCAAACGTTGTTTCTCCAAAAAGACTTATACAAGTGATAAACCCATGTTGATTGACACATTTTTTTAAAGGTAAGAATAACTAATACTGAGAATTTTAAAAAAGGTTATTACTACAGATACTTATTCCAGACAGGCATGTACACTCAGAGACTCATCATATTAATTTTTCACTGTTTTTAGTTTTTACTGTGGTCCCCAGTTTTGGAATTCAGTACATCCTGGTCATTTTGCAGTGGGTGCAGTGTCTCTGGTAGAGAGGGGTCAGTTTTTAGCTACCAAAATCGAAAGAAATGAAAGATGATTAAAACTAATATGTATCTCAACAGGAACTCACGTGCGTCATTTCTGAACTCAGCCTTTAAAGTCACGTTCTTGCCACACGTCCATATTTTATGTCCTCGCGAGAATACGGTGCTCTTACTATTTTACAGCAATGTTTCGGCGAATAAATCAAAACAGGCTATTTAGATATTTTTGGTCATAGAAGAAACTATTTATCAGAAAGGCCATTATGAAAAGCAATAGAAAGTTTACGTGCGACTATTGCATTCGGAGATAAGTTTATGAAGCAGAAAGCCAGATTTGGGGGAATTCTATTCGCCCATATATCACTTGCCATAAATAATAGAAGATTTCCTGTCTTTTCGTGCTGTGTAACATGGAAAGCCTCAGTAACGCGATCAAAATACGCATCGACAGTTCTCATATTGCATTTCTTACCCTCTTATAATGAATGACTCAGGCCACCGAAAGTTTGAGCAGGTGTATTGAGGAGTCAGGTAACATACACTTTTGTCTTCTCCAGTTACTTGTTTTCATTTTGGACATATAAGCATTGATTATTTTTTTCTCTCTAGAGAACATTATGTCCCCCAAACATGGGTAATAAATGTCACAGTGTTCCACGGGACACACGTTAGTTATTCCCGGGAGTATTGTGGTTATGTGCTGGGAGAGTAGAGAAAAGTTTCTTTCCATCCAGGCTGTAGGATAATTTCACAGATGCTCCGAGGCTCCAATAACCTTGAACTAGGGCACTGCCCTGCAGATCCGCTGTGGGAACATTTGTTGCTTTGTTGAGTTTGTGCTTCTCGTTTTATTTACTGATTTACAAAGAGCAAGACAGTTGAGTCCCGCTCCCAGCTACGACCAGGGAAGGCCCAGCCCCTCACCCCCAGACTGGCCTTGTATAAGCCTCGAGACGGGTGCGGGGGTGCGCGGGGGTCTGGGCGTCTGGGCCTGGACAGTGGGGGTTCCCTGGAGTAGCAGCTCCACGGGAGGGAGAGGAGGGGCCGTGAAATAGTTTAAAGGAAACTGATGCTCAAGTTATTCTAAAAGACAACATTGAGCCGGACACGTAACGGGGTGACACACTGCATTTGCGCACAGTTTAAGATAATTTTAAGATTAACACATAATAGGAATGTCGTGCTTCCACAGGACACATGCCATCCAGGGGGGCAGCGGCTTTGCATCTAGAGCGGCTGTGGCAGGCAGTGTGGGGAGCGTGGGAGACCGGGGAGAGCATTGAGCAGCTGGTTGTCCCCGCTCCCGGTGGGAATATGGCCAGGCGCTGCTCGAAACAGGCGTAAAATGACCAAAATGCGTAAAATGACCAAGAGATTGTCTTTGAAAGAATTAAATATGGCAATGCAGGCGAAAGCTCTTCGCGAACTGGAGAAGGAAAAACAATCTTGTTTTCATTCTGTATTCCTTCATTTAGCCGACGTGGATCGAGCCCTAACGAGCTGTCGAAACCGCACGGGGCCCGGAGCTTCTCTGCGAGGGGCCGGCAGGCTGGAGGCGAGGCGGGCGACGCCGCCTGTCCTGGGCAGTGTGCGGAGTCCAGTGATGGATGTCGTTTCGGAGTTTAGTGACCCTGGAAGGAAGGCCTGATGACGGAGGAATAAGCCACAGCGGGGGCTCCAAGGGGACCGTGGGGAGGCGGAGCACGTGCGGGGAGTCGGGCCGGATGCGTGTCCTCTCCAGCGACGTGACGAACAAAGCCCGTGGGAGGCCGGGAGGCCCTGCACCAGGCCGGAGACCTCCCCGCGTGACACGCGGAACGTACGAGGGTGGAAAACGGATCGAGACGTCGAGGGAAAAGCAGCTCCAACGTGATACGTAACGCGGGTCCCCCAGCCGGATGGCACTCAGTGCTTGGGAGGGCGCACAAAAAAATGCTAATCGTGGTTATTGCGGGGTGACAGAGTTAGGAGCCGGTTTTATTTTATTTCCCCCCCGTCTTCCGTATTTTCCAAATTTTCTTCACGGACTATAGATTGCTTTTGTAATTGAGAGAAAATTCAAAACAGATGGGGGAGCCCAGAAATATGAGCGAAAAACCAAACAGGTAATAAAGGACAATCACTCCCAGGCACAGAGGGACGGAGAGTGACACACAGGACACGGCGGGTCACCGTGGACAATCCGGGAGGGGACGGATGTGACACACTCGCTGAGCTGCTTCTCATCTCCGCCCCACACCCAGCCTCCCTCCCTCGCCCGGAAACACCCATCGCAACTCAGCGACACGGAGCGAACCTCACACGCACACTCACTTCCCCTTTCTTGACATGACTGGATGCCCCGAATGTCAAGGGCACAGCGGCCGTGCCCAGCGTGCCCTGACCATCGCTGCGTGGCTGCGGACACCACTGACTTTGGTGTCACACGGTGGGCTTTGGCGGATCAGAGAGGCTAATTGAAGTCGAGAAAATTCTCTCTCGGCCATTTCCTGCTTCCTTCTCGCCTCCATCTCTCGGCTCTCATCTTCGCTTCCAGTAAAACACAGAGCAGAGATAAATATATTCTCAGTCCAGTCCCGGGACTGCGCTGCGGCCTAAGGACCCCGCATGACCCTGTGGCCAGTTCTAGCGACGTTCCTCTGAGCGGGGCATCGACGCCCCCGTCCAGGCAACCGGAAGCCCCTCCTGAAAGCTCATCCTCAGGGAATCCAGACCCGTCCCCTGACACTGTCCGGTGGCTCCTGTTACCTGCAAGTCGGGTTCTGTGTCCACCTCGACGCGACACCTGAGATTAGCTACGTAAAAGAGAAAAAGATTTTAAATTCAGCCAACGGAAGCAGCAACAGGCACAAAGTAGGCACAGCCGCTCCGTCTTCTTTATAAACTCTTTTCGTCCACTCTGTCCCTCCACCAGTCCCAGCCGAGCCCCAGGCTCTTCCGGCGGCTTCGTTCTGCCTCGTCCACGAGCGACGTTGCCACCTTCGCACCGCATGGGGCCCTGGGGAGGCAGCATCGCCCTGTCTCAGCCATGGATCCCGGCGTCACCTCAGGTGTGTCTTAGACTCAGCTGCCCAGGGTCACCTTGACGTGTGCCACAAACTTTGCATTTGCTTTGCTAAACGCTTTAGCTTTGATTCGGGGGTGACTCGCATTATTCGTTCTAGAAAACGCAATCCACGTAGTTCAAGAAGGACGTGAGACCATACAGGACACCACGGCCGTGCGCAGAGGGCATCCTATAGCGGGGGCCGTTGGCATAAATGGGGTTGACCCTGACCTCGAATCAGACAGACCTGTGTTCAGATTCCTTGAGCGCTGTCATTTACCTGCATGACCTTTAGGAACTTACTTGGCTTATTGGAACCCTAATTTCCTTAACTAATAAGGGGGGTTATTGTCACCTAATACAGAAATTGTTTACCGTTTTAAGGTTGTAATGTCCACAGAGTCCCCAGCACAGTGACCGGCAATAACACGCAGTAGGTTACGATCTTCCACCTGCGCCTTCCACTTGCGAGCGGCTACCTTTTCAGGTCAGAGGTCAGCTGTCATGGTCACATCTCTTTAACCGAGGTTCAAAGGAGCAAACCCCAAGACCAAAAATCCTTGAGAGATATGTCGTTCTGCCTAAGAGTGCAGAGGCGAGTTGTCACGGGGTGGCCCAGCGTTCCAGTCACATCACAGCGTCTTGGGGATCATCTCAGGCTAACTTGAGGGCAAAGCCAGACACCCACTGGTCTTAGAATCGACCTGACGATTTTCTTGAATAAGGAAGGATCTCAGCTCAGCTGAGATTCCAAGAATCACTTCCAGCCTGGCACTGAACCCCAGGAGGAAAAAAAACACACCACATTTTATTTCTATATGTACATAAATTTTATATATATTATTATATATATTATTCATATATATTATATATATAGGGTGGAGAGGAAGGAGAAAGAAAGAGACACAGAAAAAGAGAGAGACAGACAGACAGACAGACAGAGGTAGGGAGGAAAGGAAGAAGGAAGGGAGAGAAAGGGAAGGAAAACTCTTCGAACTCCTTGAAGGAGACACCGAAAAAAATCATCTGTTAAATGTCGACCTTCTGGCACCCTGTAATCTTGGATGGTACAGCCAGTAAAACCATGACCTCTTTCAAAGTTATCAAACTTAAAATGTTCAGATTGAGCTAAAAAATCAGAATCTGCCTTGGATGGTGTCTCTTCAACGAACTCTTAGCTCTTCTGTGACCATCTCTCCACGATTCTTCTTCTCCCTAAATTAAGAGAGTAAAACCTCTGCCAGAGAAAATACTCTCAGAAACAGCCCTTCAGATAGACTCGTAAGAAATCAAGAAATCGAGAAATCAAGAAATCGAGGAGAGGCAGAAAAAGAGGCAAAGAGTGTGACAGCCTCGCCTGACCGGCCACTTTCGCTGACCTGCGGACTGAGCGGCCGTCCTGATTTCCAGCAGGACCTGTTCTTGGAAGAGGACACACTGGTTTTTCCAGATCGAGTGCCAGAGGGGACCCTGTGCTCCAGCTTATCTCCTCGCCCCGACCCAGGAGAAGCACCCAGAAGGTACAAAGACGTGAAGGTCCATCTTGGCGGCAGACCCAGCAGCCGCAAAGGCTCTGGGTCTGTGAGAGCGAAGCCACCTGTGCTGTGTCACCGGAGACGTCTGCTGTCCTTCCCTGAAAGCGTCAGCGTCCCTGGACACGCCTCCAGTCTGAAAAGCGGCCTCGGGTTGAAGAAAAAGCTGGGGCAAGTTTTCTGAGCGTTTCTCTGCCACACGCTGTCACCCTAAGCAGAAGTTCTAGACACTCTCGGAGCCAGCCGGACTTTCAGGAAGCCGAGGAATGACACGGGACGGCTAAAGCAAGGAGCCGAATGCCCGAGTTGACCTCCAGGCCACTCTGCTCTCAGGAGTCCTTGGACGTCAGACTGGCCGACAGGGTCACCTGCGTTCCCAACATTCTCGCTAGGTAGGAAGGTACTGGTTCACGACAGCCGGCCCACGACAGCAGCCCTAGGACGTGGCCTCCTAGTTATGGGAGATGAAGCATCATGGGCAAGTGATTTATCTAAAGACTTTACATCTTATAACATGACAATGCCCCTGCGCCCTGGCATGTCCTTAACACCTAGAATAGGACCTATCGTGTACTGATAGATACTTGTTGGATGGATGGATGGATGGGTGGGTGCATGGGTGGGTGGG